TACAGATAGCAGAAAGGTAAATACAGTGTTCGAATAAAGGACATAATAATACATCGTGTAGCATAGCTCTCAACGAATGTAGTCCTGTAAATAAATGAATAAAGAAATTGTGTAATAAAATGCACAATAGATACCAGCCGACATAAAATCTTGCCAAACAATACAAACTTTTAAATGTAAATTAAACAACCATCTGGCAAAGTTAAAGATAGAATTTTAAAGAAAACGTGTCGAGAAAAAATAATAGACGATTGACGTTTTTTCAGGTTATATAAAATTTACTATACGATTATTTAGGGAGCGCCTGCTCTCTTCATTATAATGCCTATTGAATTAATATAACATCGGATTAAATTTTGTTAATGAATGTGTAGTCACTCAAAATACCAAGGTATTCATTTAGACCCTGTGTATGACTGTTGAGCCTTAACACCCAACGCATTTTAGAATATTTTCTATCTTTGTTGGATTTGTATCCATGGTCTATGATAATAAATGTAAGGTTTTTAATTGTGTGGTCTGGCAAGTTGAAATGTTTACTAACGGTAATGTCTTATTCTGATTTCGTATGAATCTTTTATGGTTGTTAATTCTTGATCTAATGAAGCATCCTGTTTCGCCAACATAATTGCCATTGTTACATTTATCACAATAAATAAAATATACAACACTAGAAGATTTACAATCCAGTTGATTATCGAGAACGTATTTTATATGTTGTGACCGGTAATAATTAATAATATAATTATGGATTTATATCACCTCACGTTGTTACAACCTCGAGGAGCTTTTAACAATATATATAAACCAAAATCTAAAATAACAGACTAAATATATAAAACAAAATATTTCAGTGTACAAAATGAACCGTTAATGTGAATGGCGCGTCGGCGACGGTGGTGATGACTTGACCAAGTTGGCATCTCTTAAGAACAATCTAAAGGACACATGCGAACCCTACGAATGTGTTCTGGCACAGGGACCCTAAGAATGAAAAATCAGTAGAACAAACGACTAGATGAAATATAGCCCAGGCCACTGTTGTCGAAATTGGACGATTTTTCGACCCTGGGATCCGGTTGTTTTGAGTTCAGTGGCACATGATCACAAAACACTATCCTTGTTTGCAAATGCCACTGAATTAAATATAATATATCTAATCGATTCATTAGGAGGGGTTAAATTCTGGCATAATTCACATAATTAAATGCTATGAAAATTATGTTAAATAAGGTTAATTCAAGCACAGGCCTAATCGGTATTTTCTTGATACTAGGTACCATAATGTAAGATCAGCCTAAAAACGAAAGATAAAAATAGCCCAATCTTGGGGAAAAAAGATTAGCTCACATGTTGAAATTGGACGAATTTCGATCCTCCCATTTTCTGTGGGTTCTCAAAATCCATGGAGTTATGTGGCACCTACGGATTTGAGGCAGTGCTCAGTGAAATTTGAGTCTGAAAACTTTTTTGAACATAAAACCAACCAAGTTTCCTTTCATCAATATGGCCTATATATTACAGTACATATAGATTTGTTCCTGTCCCTCATTCTCAATCCTTAAGGTTTTCTGATAACTTAGTCCTTCTATTTTGCTTGAACATTTATTCTTAGGCCTACCCTTGGAAATATCCAATAGTCCAAATTTATATTTTGAGGCATTTTCACTCAATTAAATTGGAAACCGATTAAAAAAAAATATAAAACAGCCAAGTTTCCTTTTATCAATAAATTACAGTATATATTTTATGTCCGTTAGTTCTGTTTCTCACATTTTCGATCTCCATTATTATTTTTTTTTTTTTCATAGGAGATGAGATGTGTGACTTGAGTGACACCGTCTTCTTGGCTAAAGACGTGGAGGGCGCATTATCGATATTGGGAAATCGAACTGGATATTCACACGTCCGGACGTAGACGTAGTAGTAGTAGTAATTGCCAAGTATTGTTGCAAAAACTAAACTGCATCTTATTGACACCTGATTGGTGGTCCTCCTTCTTTGTCTGGAGTAATTGCTTGTTAAAATGTGTAATGGTATATGTATTTCGTTAATTTAGTTAACAGCTTAATTCTTTGTTTATAATTTACTTGTTTAATTTAATTTACTTGTTGATATGTCGCTTCATACACAGAGAGAGCTGGTTTGCCATATTCATTTGACTTCCCCAGATAGCTCTCATTCATTTTCTTATGGTATATCTATTTCAAATACCCATAAACCTCTGATTTAAATAAGATTTGCTGAATACAGTATACTACAGGCCTAACATAAAGAAACAAAATAAATAAATACGGTAAATGAATATATAAATATAAACTAGATTTGAACTCGTCACTGAGGACGAGTTAGGTGATCCGCCGTACTTTGACCCTC